CTGATTACTATTTGTCGCCAAACAATACAGATTTCCAGAGTGAGCAAGCCACCCCAGGCTCTTTTTTCCCTCCAAGCTGTCGAGTGCTGTCAAGTTTTTTCCCCTAAGTTGAGGGAATTTAGAAAGACATGATTAAAAAAAAAAAAGCTTATCCCTCCAATTTTTTTTAATTAAGGCGCATTGACAGGACTCCAGATTTCTCGTCATATAAACAGAAATTAATGTGAAAACCCCACAGAGAAATCAATGAATATGTGGTATGACTGAGTGACAACGTAAGATGGCCACCGGTGGCTTCACTGGGGGGTTATTAAGTAGCAATTTTTCAGTGGTGCTGAGTGTAAAAGGTTTGAGTATCATTGTTGTAATGTCGAAAATGATTCAAAAAAATGACTTTTACATTACAGAAAATAATCTGAACAAAATACTTTTTCATGTTTGTGAAACTATGTGATGTAGAATCCAGGAAATAGCCTAACCGCCTGCCAGGGTTGGAAAATTCATTTTCTACGTAGACAAGTTCAAAGTCCTGGTCACAAATTTTTTAATGAAATTGCTCAGTTCAAAATGTCTTTATTTAAAAGGTTTGTTACAAAAGTGAATATATATATATATATATATATATATATATATATATATACACACACACACACACACACACACACACACACACACACACATACACATATGTAAATGAGAAATATAGGACTGTAGTCTTTAATGTGCAAGCACAAACAATGTAAGGTAGGAACCAGGCTGAGGTCGGAAATTAACTCTCTCTCTCTCTCTCTCTCACACACTCTCTCTCACACACACACACACATATACAAACTAAAGCCACTTTTGCCTTCAGGCTACCTTAAAACACACACCTGCGACTTCCTGCGGACCCCCCCCCACGAAATTGAAAGGAAAAAGATTGTCTAATGTTCACCACGTACGAAGTACTATTTGTTGCCAAACAATACAGATTTCCAGAGTGAACAAGCCACCCTGGGCTCTTTTTTCCCCTCCAAGCTACCTACTGCTGTCAAGTTTTACATTTTGATGACACATAATGTGAGTCTCTGTGGCTTAGCTTGTCAAATAAAGTGTTTATCCCCCTCTATATGAAGGCTCATTTACTGTGTTTAGGTGTTCTATTTTATGTAAAATGTATGTAATATACAAAATGTAAAATGTATGTAATATACATAATGTAAAATACATTTCTTAAAAAAAAAACAAATACTCGCAGTTGTCAGCCATGTGTTTTCACTTAAGTTCTAATTTCACACACTTACCTCGATTGAATGTCAGTATGCTGTGTTAGCTTTCTCAACAAGTTCTTTGTACGGCCAAGTTAAAAGTGAAAAGTTAGTTTGGATTCAGTGAATAGCAAATGGCCTCAGGTGTCAGATGTCCCTGAGATGCCAACGTGTCACGTTGATCTGTTTACTTCCTTCTTTTCAGCTTCATCATCAAACGTCTTTGAAGGCAGGTAATCGGGCCGGCGGCGTCATTTCGGCGTGAACAAAGTACTGTTCTTCACAGGTGCTCGCTCCTTGCCACCTGAACTGATGCTAATTTTGAGGCACGCAAAAAGGCTTAGCCATTGTTGATATCTGATTAGTCCGTCCGATTTCAGGCTTTTGAGTGAAACTGCCTCGATTGTTGTCAGGCGGTGATACCTAGCCATTGTTATTCCAGAAAAATCCAAGCAGATCGAGATGTTTTTTCCACATTCAACAAATGATAACAACTCGGGACTAAACTGCAGCAATGTGCGTGTTGCTTTTTTTTTTTTTATCTTCTGCTTTCATTTGCATTTAAACATTATTTCACAAATTAAATTGAGTGATTATTCCTGTGTTGGAAAAGCAGCTTATTTTCCGCCAAATACCACAGACATCAACAAAGCACAATTTACATGTCAGCACACAAACATCCTCAATCCATCCTTTATCCAAGACGCTTATCCTCACGAGGGTTGCGGGTGTGCTGGAGCCTATCCCTGCCATCTTCGGGCAGTAGGTGGGGGACACCCTGAACTGGTGACAAATAACCATTCCCGCTCACAATTTACAGTGTTAATTTAACCTACCGTGCACATTTTTTGGATGTGGGAGGAAACCGAAGTACCCGAAGAAAACCAACACGGGCACAGGGAGAACAAACCCCACAAAGGAAGGCCGGAGCCCGGATTTCAACCCTCGACCTCTGCACTATGCTATCCAGTCGACACTGACATCATAAACACATAATTTTGCAACTTTCGCATGGAACAAAACTGAAACGTTGTGTCATTTTGACAGTCTGCAACTATTAAATATCAATCATGAATTTATCTGATCCCGGTGTATATTCAAGGCAATACACACACACACACACACACACACACACACACACACACACACACACACACACACACACACACACACACGAAAATAAAAATGTTGTAATTCATTCTTTGCAGTTTCCATGCACTGGATTACATTGAAAATTCATGTTGTCCATGTGACGCTATTGTTGTCAGGTGTTGGCTTATTTCGCCGAGTAAACCTTGATCCTGTTTTTCAGCTTTAGTTCTCCTCCTGCCTTTTACCCCTCAAAAAATAGTAATGACTTTTTCTTTCTCCTCCAAGGATGTCACGTCAACATGGTGACAAAAGAACAACAACAAACACAGCTGTGACATTTCAATTGAAAGGAATGTCACTTTGTATTCATTTGTTGTGGCTCTGTTTGTCTGCCTGTCTAGCTATCTTTCTTATTTTATTTATCATTGGTTTTAATTGAATGTCCAAAGAAGTGAGCAATGGGATTTTTTTTTCTTTATTAAATGCACAAAGATTTAAAAACAGCTTTTTCCTAAGTTGAGGGAATTTGGATAGACATCATTTGAAAAAAAAAATCAAGCTTATACCAACATTTTTTTCTTTTGGTTAAAGCTGCATGGACAGGACTCCAGACTGCGACCAAAATGGTTGCATATGTGACCTTTCCCCCCCACCCCCAGCGTGAACAAGTAAGAATTTCACCTGGTTGTGTTGATGCAAGTATCCACTTTTTAGTGCTCCCTCCAAAAACGCCACTCTGTTCGACATTGCGTTTGGAAGTCAACCTCATTTTCACACGTTCAAAAACAGTCAGAGCAATCTGAGGAGACGCAATACAGAGCACATGAAATGACCTTTATATGCGATCAGTCCGTACAGACAAAAGACCAGTGATGAAATCTGCCTCCGTGTCCTACATATCCTATGACAGATGGAGACACTGACATCTCCACAAAAGAGCGTGAGACTGCCTCTACCGGCGCTATCGAGAATGGAAGACTCTCCCCAATATCCTGATTGGCCATGCTGAGGTTGCGATGCGTTGTGTGCCTTTCCATGTTGATGAGGACAATGAAAACTGCTTTGAAAATTACAACAATGGTTTTATATTTGGAATTTGATGCATTAGTGTTAATACTGTACATCCATTCATCCATTTTCCGAACCGCTCACCACATACATCGGTAAATAATATTGACTCATGAATACAAAGAGACATACATTACATGACTGTTTTAATGTACTGTATGCTGCAACTGAGAAAGCCTTTGCTAACCTTCAGCCAATCAGCGTTTTCATATTTTGAATTAATTGCATTAAATGTGCAAACATTAAGATTTACCAATTAACCCAAAAAAATTAGAAACAGTATGATAAATTTATATTTTATGGAAAAAAAAACCCTGCATAGAGAAGTGCGGGAGGGGGGAGTGGTGGGTAACTACTTCTTGAGATGTTCAAAATATTGGAAACACGATTGGACAGGTGGCTGTTAAGTGATTGACTTCTCAATATTGACATTGAATTAAAACTAACATTCCCGAAACTTCCCACCTCCAGACAAACAAATAAAATAATAATTATGTCTTGTGCTAATTGACAATTTACATGTCTCCCTATAACCAACCAAAAAAATAATCATGTAATGAATTATCAAACTAAGGGGTCAAAAACGATAAAACAATAAAAATTCTCAGAGGATTAATTTTGTGTGAATATTGAATATTGTCTGCTGGAAGATCACATAGCCACGACTGTGCGGTGCGACAGGTAAACTGTTGAAGAACACAGCCATGTCATTCAGTAAAGAGCCATCATTATTAATTTATTCAAATTTAAAATATTGCTTGGAGGAAAAAAAAAGTTCATAAGGCAACCAGCATTCAGGGTGTATTTTCTCCAAAACTATGTCACCATCTAGTGGATACATTGTCATATTACAAATGTCACGAAGCCAAATAATAAATACACAAGACAGTAACTCAGAGATGGCTAACTGAAATGATGGCGGCGGCCACAACATTGCATCAGTGGTACGGGGGGACAGGTCCACTTTATTAAACACTGAAACATTTACGTGCGGGTTTTACACACGGTTACCTTTTTCCTGTGTTGTTAATGCTCGTCACTGTCCTCAGCTCCGAACCGTAATGAGGGACGAATTGATTGCTGGTGTGTTTGGCTTGTTCAACTTGTAAACGTAACGCGCCTCTCCGACGGAGAAATACAGACGAATGAACAGGATGTCATACTGCTTGCTCATCAACTGCGGCTCCATTCCTTCCCTAATCAGCAGCAAACAATTTTCTCTGGCACTCACGCTTCTCGCCAAGCACACCCACTCCCGAGTTCACACACTGGTTACTTGCCTTCTCTTCCGTGCTCTCCTCCGCCAGTGTCCACCTTACGCACGCCCGTTCACGTCACTCCACCTGTCACTTGTCGCCCAAAAAGTCAGTGAAATTAAAAATACGGTGGAAAAACAAAGACGGGCATTTTCTTAATTTTTAAAACTCCACCGAAGTCCCGGATAGCGCGTAAAAAAAGATGATACATCCGAGCAACAGAGGACATTTGGTCAGACTTCATATTAGCATTTGGGCAAACATAATTTTTACATGTATCGTTCAGAAGAGCTGATTGCTATGGGTGGAAAAGAAACAACACATAAAAACACAGGTGTGAATAGTAAAAACAAACAAATAGTAATTTATGTATAAATATGTCACCAAGTGTATCGTTGAGTTTTTATTCTAGTTTTCCATCCTCGGTGCTTTCTAGTGATAAGGAGGCGATGCTGCTGCAAAATAATCCCCCAACAGTGCGTGAAGACCACGTGCTGCTGCCAAAAAATTGTCACCATAAAGACACATTCGGTATCCCCCCCAAAAAATAAACAAAAACAGTACAAAGCCACACAATTCATTTTGATAACGCAATCATGTTTCAGCACATTTTTTTCGACAGATCTGACACTTAAACATTTGCTAAACATGGTTACACCTGTTTTGCAAAGAAAGGCTAATTTCTTCTTCTTCCATCAAAATTGGCCACGAGTAAAGGTCGACTGGGAGACAAAACAACTTGGAGAAATTCTGACTGTGTCACTAGTTCACAGATTGTTTATAGCTGGAAAAACCAAAGCCCGAAAGGTGGAAGACAACATAATGCTTTTAACTTCTTTAACTCTTCACTATGCTTTGCTTATTAAAATGTTACTTAAAAGTATCAGAACACTTTTAGGAGGGTGTCTCTTTGGGCAAATCCCCTTTCCTCCATCGAGACACCAAAGACGGCAATTTTGGCTCAAATATGAAACAAAATGTTTAGTGTCAAGACTTAAAAAAACTTTCATCTTATCAAATGTAATTTTCAATCACTGCCAGCACAGTTTTTAACATGTACAACGGCTCTTTTTGAGGACATGAATCTTAATCAATGAATGCTTGAGAGTGCAGACAGCACACTATTTCAAATATTTGAAGGTTGTTTTACATCCAAGGGAACAACTACAAGCTGTTACAATCACCCTACCCCCTCCAGTAGACAAACCAGGACACTGCAGCTCAAAGTTAAACAGCACATTTTGAGGGTGTCAAAATAATTTACTTTTAACTCATGATGATAGGATTATTCAAATGTCATTCTAAATCACCCATCAGAAGAATTTTTAACAATTTTACAGTGGTTTTATGTGTCACGAAGAATGAGGCCCTTTTTACTGCATTTCAACAATTAAAGGGAAAGAAATACGGCATTTTTGCAAAAAGTTTAACGCAATTATCTCATTTTGAGTGGGTCACTTTTGTTTAGTTTCAACAAAAAATGTTGAGATTATTCAAATCTCATTTTGGCTCAATGGCAGGATACTTCTAAACATGTTTAAAGATGGTTTTATGTCATGGTAGAAAATTTAAGTCATGTGTGCTCCAATTGAACACTTGCTCAAAGACACCCATTTTGCCTCAAAGGTGAAGACAACTGTCTTAATTTTGAGTGGATCACTGTTATTTATCTTAAACAAACAATGTTTGTTTGAAACGCATTTTCAAGCGGAGTCAGCACACTTCTTCACACATTTAAGAGTGGTTTTCTGCTCTGGTAAAAAAAAAAAAAAAATTACAAGTCGTCTACCCCACTTGAACACTTAAGGTGGAAAACCAACAGCTCACTTTTGAGTTTTAGAACACAGATGTATTAAAAAATAAAAATAAAAATCTCAAGGCCAGTGCTGACGGTTGTGCTGTTTCCATAGTAACGAAAAAAATGGCAGCAAAACAAACCCCTTCCAAAAATCGTCCAAAGAAAGAAAGAAAGAAAAGAGCATTACTTCCAACCAAAATATCAGTACAATCTTTCGACAAAAAAAAAAAAAAAAAAAAAGAAAAAGATTCACATTCACATTAAAATGTGCTTCAACAGTTCACCATAAGCTCTCCCTCCCCCCAGTGGATGTTTGTTCCTCAGCTCCTCAGTAGAACCTCTTGTTTCGCTCCTGACGCTTCTGGAAGACCACAGCGCCCACCACACCGCACACCACGATGCCCAGCAGCGCACAGAGCAGGAGCAGGAACACCTTCCAGCCCGTCAGTGGCGTGCCACGGAAGTTGCCCGTTGGGTCGTCGATATTGTCTATGGTGAGAATCGCGTTATGCAGTGAGGGGAGGGAAAAAACAAAAACAACAATGTCATCATGCAATTCAGGGATTTTATTGACAAATTCGATTCATTTGGCAGTACTTTTTTTTCTTTTGGTAGCTTCTAAAGTTCAAAGTGCGTATCTGCTGATGAGCACTGCTTACACAAACAATACGGTGTTGTGCGTCTTTTTTTTTTGTTGTTTGTTTTTTGAAATAGTTGCTCAAGTGCTCGGAAAATGGCCGGGCACCCATGGGGTGCCCGAAAAGGCAAAGTGGGTCACCCTTCCTACGGTCTCAGTACCTGTTGGAGGGCCGAAAGGGGTCGGGTGACCTGTGAGCTGGGTGATGGCAAAAGGCAGGGTCCTTGGCGGTCCGATCCCCGGCTACAGAAACTAACTCTAGGGACATGGAATGTCACCACTCTTGCAGGGAAGGAGCCCGAGATGGTGTACAAAGCAGAGAAGTTCTGACTAAATATAGTCGGGCTCGCCTCTACGCAAAGCTTGGGCTCTGGTTCCAGTCCAGAAGAGGGGTTGGACACTCTTCCACTCTGGAGTTGCCCATTGTTAGAGGCGCAGAACAGGTGTGGGTTAACAGTACTTACTCCCGCCTGCCGTACGTTGGGGTTCGGGTGAAAGGATGGGTCGTGACTGTTGTTTGTGCCTGTGCACCAAGCAGCAGTTCAGAGTAACCACCCTTTTTTGAAGTCCTTAGAGAAGTCCCCCTGGAAACCCCATCGTTCTGCTGGGGGATTGCAATGCTCTCATGGGCAATGACAGTAAGATCTGGAAGGACGTGAATGGGAGGAAGACTATCGCCCAGCCCTACATCGCACCGGCATCCCCACCGAACAAACCTTTGGGTGACTTGAGCAGGCTGACACTTGGCTCGATCTTTGTCCAGTCCATGTTCTCCTCCTCGGGCGTGTGCTCCACCATTAGCTGGTACAGCTTCAATGAGATGATGTCATGGTTGTCTACCAAAAGGAAGACAGAAGTTAAGACACACCTCACACTTCATTTGGGACACTGCCAAAAGCAAAGGCTACGTTCACAATGAAAGTCAATTCAAATATTTTTTACCTGTGTGACAGGTGCCTGATTTTTTCCTTAGAATGTGAACAGTACAATTCCAATTTTTCCAATTCAACCCGGACCTCTTTCGTCTGAGGATATCAGTCAGTGTGTGTAGGTCATGCTCATCTAACCTATGTCTCATCAAAAACAAAATACGCGCTCTGAGCGGGAGGGGCAAGAGGAGAGTGCTTTGGATAGACTACTCACAAAGGTCAATGCTTCTGCAAAGTTGTGAGGAGCAACAGTATTCATTTTCATCCAGTGATTGTGCCCCCAAATGAACACGGACCTATTTAATCTTTATGGACGACAATGGCCCAGCTCATCGAGGTCACATCGTCAAGGAATGGCTGTTGGAGACCGGTGTACCTCAAATGGAATGGCCTGCACTTTCTCCAGACGAATCCGATTGAAAACGTGGGATCAACTGAGTCGCCGTGTCGAGGCTCAAAACTCTGCACCCCACAACCTCAATGACCTGAAGGCTGCCCTTCAAGAAGGGTGGGATGCCATGCCTCAGTGGACAATAAGTTGACTTGTGAACAGCATGAGACGACGTCGTCAAACTGAAATTGATGCTCAAGGGGACATGACGAGTTCTTGAAACATTGACATTTTTTTTTGTTGTGGTGTACGCACAATCGTAGTTAACTTTTGTTTCACTGAATTGTTTGAGATGAGGATGTCACCAGTGCATCTTTCAACTTAAATGTCCTACTTTTCATATGATGTCACTGTAGCGTGAACTTTTTACATTTTCCATAAATTTCATTGAAAAGCCAAATACTGTATCCCCAGTTTTTAAAATTTTTCATACCATTGTAATTTCTTTTTGTTTTTATTTTTGGAATGTTTGTCCTCCTAATGTTGCTTATTTGTGTGAAAGATTTTTTTTTCATAATATACATTTTTGTATTGTGACTTTTCTTGGACATTTCTATTTTCTATCACATTATTGTTTGCTCGAAAAAATAGTGCTACTTTATTTGCTGTATTGTGGAAGCACTCTTAATTTTAGTGTTGTGACATTGCACCTTTTCATTTTTCACATAGCTATTTTTTGGTGCTACATTTTCTTAAAATGACATTGCAACTTTTCGATAGTAGATTAAAACAACAAAGAAACTGCTATTTCTACTTTTTCCTCACAATGCACGTTTTCCTTTGTATTACAATTTATGAATAATTTTTCTTGGAATCGAATGTCATCTTCTAGAACTTTGTTCTGGAAACTTAATTCTCATGACTAAGCACATTTTGAAAACTAATGTTACTCTTTTTCATTCTTGTAATACTATGACAAAATATTTGATGACGTCATTCGTAAAAGTGACAAACCAGAAAGATCTCCAGTGGCTGCTGAGGCACCAAAGAAATATCCCGTGGGAAGACGAACGCCTCCGATGTCGATGCACTCCTTCCACTCGTTCTTGTCGTCCACGTCCATCATCACCTGCACAGCAGCAACAACGCATCAAAGCACTTCAAGCTTCGTGTTGAACGACTCGACATTTGTCATACGATACATACGGTAAGTCTCCCTTTGGAGTAGCGTATGGCGAGATAGGTGTCAAACTCTCGGTTGCGGATCTCAGCCGAGCAACCCCCCAGCTCTGACGAGCGTCCGTCTTTGCCATGGTCGTAGCTCACAGAGCCGTTGTTCACCATGGCCGAAATGTACGGGAAGGAACGCTGAGAACACCAATGAGGACACAGAATGGAGTCATTTCAAACAGTGACATATGCAATTTTTCAATTCATATAAAAAGTGAGAGAAAATGTTGAGAGATGATGCTGCAACATAACAAAAAGCAATGGTGAAAAATCATAAAATGCACAGACCATGCAAATCTAATGTGTGTTTTTTTTTTTAATGGATCAAATTTGATACCAATCAGTCAAAATCTCTTAGGTCGAGTTCATCTTTGAATGACACCTGGAAATTGCCACTTCACTTCATGGCTGAATGGCTGTGTCTCTTCTGTGGACTCTTAAGAGACATGCCTCACAAAATGTCAGCTTGCTAAGCAAAACCAAATTTACCACCAAAGTCCAAAACATATTCCTTTGTGTGTTTTTACGTTCTTCAGACGCTTTTGAGGGTAATTTCAAGTTGCTACCTAAAATATTCAAAGAGCCATTTGCACCAGAAAATAAACTACCAAGAGCCGAGAGCCGGTCCTGGCGAACAATACCTTGTCCCAACACCTCGGCCCCACTAAAAAGGGCTAAACAATAATATATTTGTATTATTTTAATACACACAATATTGAATACAAAAACATAGCTTCTGGGAATCTTTTCACCATTACCCAACACCTTTTTAAAATACTCGTGTAACCAACACCTTTTTAAAATACTCGTGTGACAACTTCTGCCATCCAACTCATTCCTCATATATGTGTAGAGACAAACCGGTTTGGACAGGCCCTTAAAGGAACTTTGGAGATAACCGTAAAATGGCCGCTTCATAGCAAAACGAATGACAAGAATGCAAGATGAATGGAAAACATGGGAGTGGCGCTTTAACTTAAAACATGAAACTGGCGACAGCATGCTGACAAAAAGGTCAGCACTCACGTCGGCCGAATCATCATTTGAGTACGTATCGATAAAAACCGCCAGGCCGTGGAAGATAGCGTGTTCGGAGAAGACAGGCCCTGAGGACAGAGGAGGCGGTCAATGGCGGGGCAGCGTGCGCCATACACTTACGTCCATGCCTTGCAGGTCATTGCGGAAGGTGTCCAGAAAAATGGACAGGCCCAGAAACTGATCCTGGTTCCCAAACACCGAGCCTATGATGGAGGCAGAGAGCATGTGACACAGCAGTATGCTCCTGCGGCAACTTCAGGAACAACGAAGAAGAAAATCGTTTACCACTGGAAAAATTGACTTCATTCTTTATATGCGGGATAACATGGGTTTGTGTCATAGGTATATTCAAAGGTTTGGAGCTGGTGCTGCTCAAGGTGAAAATGTCCATGTAACTTTTGAAAGAAAAAGGGATAGCCCCCTGCAGCCAACTCCGTCGGCCGATATGTTCGAAAATGTTAAACACGTTGACCAATGAGCCAGTACAGTACTACTAACGAGATGGAAAGTTTAAACACTCTGTGAGACAATTTCACCAAGACAACAACGCACTGTATCAGTGACGTTTGAAGCTCAATCTGCCCATTTGACTCTGTCACTCACAGCCCCTCTCTCGCTTTCCCTCACTGCAGTCACTGTGATCATGAAACTCTCAGGGCGTGAGCACGTTTTCTGATTAGTGGTATGCTTGTCATAACTATTATTTCCATGCAAGATGGGTTTAGTTGCTACTCAATGACAGTGTGCATGTGAGTGTAAATGTCTATACTGTATATGTGACCTGCGACTGACTAAACACATATCTGTAAAAAAAAAAAAAAAAAAAAAAAAAAAAAAAATTATGAACTTTTGTCAGCAGATGGCAGTATGTATCTCTTTTGGACGCGATCACCATGTATCTGTGAATCTTTGGAAATATGACATTTCAAGCACCTCGTGATTGATAAAAGTGTTTGTCACCTCACGTTATATGCAATATAAAACAAAGAATGTTAAAAAAGATGATGGAGATGATTTTAATTTATAAATAGAAGCAATGAACTAACGTATGCAACATAAAGATGGATTGTATTGTGTATACCCACGAACATATATCAGCATGGCATGCATGCACGCTAGGGTGGTCCACATTTTCATGGCAAAAAAAAAAGTTTGTCGGATTCGTCGGGCCGGGTCGGAATTCTTGTCGATACTATGGTACAAGGTTCTGTGCAAAATTTCATTCCGATCTGATGATATTTTCCCGTCCCGCAAAGCGGCCAAAGTTTCCACCATAACAACTGGTCTCAATAGGGTGAACATGTGTATTTTAACCGTGTATTTTGCCATGCGTGACACTGGCTGGGCTGAATGTTGCCCGAACGATCACCTCCTGACTAACTAACCATTCCATCGCTGCTCTCAGCAGCCGGAGACAAACTCAAACGCACGCCTAACACACAACGGTCACCTACTGGCGAGCTAATATCTTTCAATTGAAGTCGAGAATCGCCGGAATTCTTACTGGACGCTGAGCTGAGGACGCTTTTCGACA